TCTTCAGTGAGATTTTTAGCGTTATTTTTTTTTTTTTTAAAGTCCTGAAAGGGATGGGAAGGGGAAGCTAAAGTAAACATCATAACCTGCATGTTCGTCGTCACTTCACTTCTTCTTCTTCTTCTTCTGCGTTCGACATCAGTCATGCTACACATAGAGCCCCGTCTGGGTCACAAATAGGATTGTGCGTTTAAGGTCGCCACCGGTCCCCCATAGCTTCTCTCGCAATGTGGATCCCCTGGGCCAGATCCACAGTCTTTGCTGGGAGAGGTAAGGGCAGTACTGCAGTATGTGCCCAGGGGTCTGTCTTTCTGCTCCACAATCACAGGCAGCAGATTCGTTTATGCCTATCCTGTACAGGTGTGCTCGAAGACCGCAGTGTCCAGTCCGAAGTCTAAAAATTGATGTTTGTCACTTCACTCATGATGTGGTCTTCAGTTTCCAGACCATCGTGTCTTACGCCGCCCTAAAAACATGGTACTAGCGGTTCTTCTCATGGTCCAAACCGTCAGGCGTTGATGGTCATGTCTGTCCACAACCCTTCGTCTCCTAAACATTCATTCAGTTCTGACACAGATGAGCTGCATGCCATGATGTCAGACTGTCCAGCAATCTCTCGGTACTAAAAGCAATAAAGACTTTTTTTTTTTTTTTCTCAGAGAATCTTTGATTGCGTCCATCGTTGTGTTTATCTCTGTGTCACGCTTCACAATAGCAGTCGTTGTGAAATCATAATTTTATATATCAATTCACTCAGCGTACCAGTATCACTGCCACACCTAGCTTACGTGCCGTAGATTGCCGACGCCTGTACTGAACCATTTGAGCTAGCTATTATAACTCCTGGTATGTGGAACCTCAGTTCAACTGCCGGTGGGGAAGGGAAGGAGGAGGGGGTTGGGGGGGGGGGGAGGCACACACACAAAAAACATGATTTAATCAGTTATGCTGACTTTGGTATTCCGTACAGCAGTTCGATAAGCAAGACAAGTTGAATGGCACTGATATCACGGGGGCGCTAGTAAAATTAACACATTCTTTTAGGATCCGTTTGTGCTGCGGTTCTTTCCCCGGTCGCATACTTGAACTTGTTGCTGTCGACATAAATCTGTATTACAGCATGTTAGATTACCGCCCTTTGTCATGGAGGAAAGTTGTTGAATTGCGAAGCTCTGATTTGTTTTTAACGTACCAGTGCTGTCATGGTCGGCTCTGTGGCTAAATCGATGCGAACGCTTAGTAATGCCGGGTTCGATCCCAGCTGCGGGCCATGCGCCTTGCGTTGGTTTCGACTGTGATATCAGGGGGCCGACCGTCCACAGGCAATGGCAAACTACTGGACGTAAATTTGCATAGAGAAACCACACAACAGCTAGGAGCTCCTGGTGTTGGTTCTGCAACGTCCTGTAAAAGATACACAACTAATCTAACCTAGTGCTGTAATGGTTCGAATAGCGTAACAGAATCATCGGTGGGGAGAGTCTGTTAGGTCTGGACAGCAGATGTTGGCTGGGCTGCAGGGGATATGTGCTTGCACTGCTGTCATAGGAAGCCGCCGTGGTGTAGAGACTAGACGCTCGCCTGGTGGTTCGAAGGTCGTGGGTTAAAATCCTAACGGATTCAAAAAAAAAAAAAAAAAAAAAAAAGACGTGGCTTCCAAGTCGACCGAGCCTTAAATAGATACCAGGTAAAGGCGACCGGCGTCTGTACTAACACAGATGAACAGTGCAACAGCTAGGGGATAGCCAACTAAAACAGGAAACAGGACCCATCAGAACCAGAACTTAGGCAACAAATGAACAAACTCAAGTGTAATTGCTCACCACAAGGAAGATAAATAAATAAGATAGAAAGGAACCGTCCTTGAAAAAGCAGGCCATCAGGCGGCTAAAAAAGGACTAAGCTTGCAATTTTTGTTTGATTTTATACGATACGGCGACCGGCGTGATGTTCACTACACCCACCGAATGCCGATTGGTTTGAAAACATAGGTCTAGCCCTACATACCTAAAGCGCATAAAGACGGAAAAAAAAGGGCCGTATTCTTTAATACATTTCTTTAAGTTCACCACATCTTGGGCGCTCTGACATTTCGAGGACAGCTCCTGGGAAAGTCCATTATTGTAGGGGTGGGGTCGGATTAGTGTTAGTCGGTGTTCGGACCCCCCCCCCCCCCCCCCCCCCCAATGGTCTCAATATACGGTTATATCGCAGTGTCTCCCCAAAAACAGACAGTCGAATATTTTAGGGGGTGGTAGATAAGCTGCATGCATTCGGGAGACGTAAGTGGGTTGGGGTTAGGCCCAGTTCTAGATGTTTTTGGGTGTTAAAAGCATCAGAAAACCGCCGCCCCTTCCCCCTCCTTTCCATATAGAACGTGGTCTCTACCTGCAGAGTTGTTTAGTGCAGATGTTGCATTTGTGCAGGTGTACTGCACCAAGAGACAACATATCCAGTGGTGTAGACATGGGTCAAGACTGCCATAGGGGAGCCCTGTCACTTATACACAGTGACAACCGAACTAGAGATCGGCTATGCAAGCCATGGATAGATGGAATATCTGATGGATAGACTGAATATGCTAGACCGTGAACACCAGCATCTACGTAGCACATACCAGGGCTGGCACCTGATGTCTCTGCAATATGTGACGCTAACAGGCAGTACACTGCTAGATAAACAAAATCACAGTTGCCAGAGACGGTAGAAACATACCGCCTGCCCGTGTGTTGTCTTGATCGTTATAATTGTTTTGACTCTTATTGTTATAATGAGTATCATTATTTTTTTTCTCTAGAAATCTGACGGGGTAGAGCGTCAGAGCTCACTGACAGGACCAGTTGGGACTCGCCGTAAATTGAGCAGATTAGGTAAACATGTTGTCCGTTCTGTATGTTGGGTCAACTCATTGATTGTCTTTCATGCAGCAAGAACTAGAAGTAAAGAGCTGGTCAGTTTATCTCTACAATTTGAGCTTCTAGAAAAGTAGTACCTCCAATGTAACAAGGATTAAGACCAAAATGAAAACCTCATCCTCCTCCTCCTCCTCCTCCTTCGACATTCAAAGCCCTTGATGTTCATTACTGCAGAATCTGTTTGATTAAACTTCCCTTTTTCCAATAGTTGACTCCAACTGTGTGTAGGTTTGCGTCTTCATTATTTCATAACTGATTTGTGTTCTTTTTAAAGAGAAACATTTGTTAGTCTAGAATGAAATGTTCAGTTGTCTGTTTGTCCTACCCACATGTACACAAGATTGATATGTTCAGCTTTTTTCCTTCGGTGTGAGTGACTGTCAGATTTGTTAGGACCTATTTTGATGCAGAATTAATCACCATCTTCTTCTTCACGTTCACCAGCTGTAATCTCTGGTGGAAAGTTCTGGTTGTTCGTCCACTTCTGGACTGCAGTCCTGTTCCAGAACCTAAGTGTTGCGTGTGCATTCGTTTTACAAACCTGACTCATTTGAATGCAGACTGCTGGTTCCTTGCCTCTCAGGCAGATGCACTGCGACACTCTAAGGAAGCTCCCAATTAATCGACTCTTACGACATGTTGTTGGGAGGCAGTGGGTCTATTCTCATTTTCCCTATAACTGGGCCCTGGAACCCACACGCGGAGGTCACCATCTCTTTTTCATCAAGGTAACAATAGTTGCCTCTAAGAAAAAAACCTAGCATGGTAATGCCATAATTACTTTGCTTTTTGGCGTGAGTTTTGTTAAGTAACTAAAGGACCCATTTCACTTCGAGTATAGAGTAAGTAAAGGACCCTTTTCCAAACCTTCAGGTGCATTGGGCATATAGGGCTAGACCAGTAATTTATAGGCTGATCGGCCGTAGGTGGGGGATATGGTCAATATTACTCCACCTGGTACCTGTTCAAGGCTGGGTCGACCTAGGAGCCAAGTCATTTTTGAAGAAAGAGTCCACTACCATCAGCACCCGAACCCAAGACCTTTTGATCTGCAGGCGAGAGTCTAGATGTGAACCTTAGACCTTCAGATGAGCTTCCTGTTGCTGCACTGCCAACCTGAGAACCAAGATCAGTTGTAAATCAATTGTCTTGGGGCAGATGTAAACCTTAGACCTTCAGGCGAGCTTCGTGTTGCTGCACTGCCTCTGCTTCATGTGAATATGTTTCAGATTTCATGTATGCTAGATTGCCGCTTCATAATAAATAGCCCCTCATACCAAGTGTCCTGTTGTGTTTGAGCTGCCAGACATTCTGGCAGTGTGTTGTTTGAAGGCATGGTTGCTGTTGGCTGTGGCGGTAATTGCAGGAGTTGATTGAGAAATTAGGAAGTATGTTATTACATTCTGGGTTCAGAATTGCCCACAATGTTATTTTATCATTCCCGAATATTTGCCAAACTCCCTGCTGTTAATTGGAAAAGAAATCTGTACATTGAAAGCAGTAAAATGTGAAATCATTTGTTCCAATTGGTATTCAGTGAACTATAAGTTCATCTTCTGCTTTTGTTTTTGTTTTTCTTCTTCTTCTTCTCCTCCTCCTCTCCTCCTTGTCCTCTCTTCCTTGTCCTCCTTCTTCTGCCTCAGCACGTTTCCCTCACTGAATCATAGACGTTCAACCCGAGCTGTCCTTTTACTGTCTCATGCACCTTCCCCCCTGTCATCCCTATATTATTCATCTTCATCTCATAACTTCCTTTAATGGTTTCACATTTCTGACATTAAACACTGAACACATGAAAAAGAGTATAGAAATAACCAGGGCCATTACAAGCTGTGAATGACACACATCAAAATGTGTTTTCAAAACAACGGTTGTCATGTAGAGCATATTATGTAAATAAAAATGGTTAAAAACAAAAATAGTTTTCCTATATATAGGTACGCATATCATATTTGAAATTTTGCAAAATATTTTCTTTTTTTTTCTTTCATCATTAAGAAAAAAGTGAGGCCGTTACTGCCCCCGGTATATAACATCAAAACTGTGTGCTCTGTAACTCAACCATTATCTCTCCATCTCATTTAGTTTCCCAAAGTAACAAAACTGAGGATGGGTACAGCAGACAGAGACCCAGACGAACAGATCCCAGTGAGAACGTTACTTCCAAAGCACTGGTCAGGAGCAGGGAAGCCCAACAGGGCCAGTACTTCCCAAACGGTTTGAACCAGGAAAGTCCAAAGCGTGTGGACTTTTCTCGAGCTCACCAGTTGAGAGAGGTAAACATAGTTTCTCCTTGCACGTTTTTCAAAATGATACATGAAATACAGAAGAATAGGGCCGGTGTGCGGAGGTGAGAATGGGTGCCCGACACATCGTAGAATGTGTGTTCGATCCTTAGTAAGGTTCTGGATTTCTGTAAAGGATTCCAGTCTGTAGACAGCATGGCCACTGTTTGGACAAGTGACCTTTATCCCAGAAACTGAACACAGAAGACATCTCGTGAGCAACTTTATTTTACAGAGCAGATTATGAAACATTCCTTTTTGTGGTCACCGGTCGAAAACTCCAGCGGAAAGTTCTGGTAGTTCCTCCACTTCCGGACCTGAAGTCTTGATTCAGAACTTGAGTTTTACGTGCACATCCATTTTACAGATCTGGCTTATTTGTGTGCAGACTACTAGTTTCTTGCCTGTGAAGCAGATACACCCTGATTTCGAAATAAGCACCCCTAATTAGTCAACTTTTATGAGATGCTTGTTGGAGGGGGTGGGGATCTTTTTCTAATGTTTCCCCACACAATGGGTCCCTTAGAACCTGCATGGGGATGGTGAAAAACAAAAAGCAGCATTCTTCTACATTCATCTGTAAAAAACTGTTGACATATTGTGTTTTTTTACAACTAGACTGCGAAATCTGCGCTAAATTACCCACATATATGATTTTAGCAGAGTCCTTTTTAGGTGCTTTTACAACACGCTTGTTAGGAAGCACGGGTCTATTCCCCTGCACCCTGCCACTATTTATAAGAGTTTTGTTTGTCTGTTTGTTTGCCTTAGCACAATTTAATTTTCTTATTTATTCTTGATCTAGGTAAACTGGGACGGAACTTACCAAGACAGACTGACTTTTCCGACACATTCTGGAGAAAGTGGCAGTGGCTCCAGCGTTAGCTCTGTCGTCCAAACCAGTCTTGACACCACCTACATCAAACACAACTTCATTTCAGCTTCAGCGGTTGCAGCATCCACGTTGACAGTTGCCCCATTGACCAGCAGCAGTCATGGTTTCTCATCCCCTCCGCTCACCCCACCGCCGTCCATATCCAACTCTACCTCAGACTTTCACTTAATCTCACCGCCAAGTTCCCCGTCATCTTCATTGACTAACAACTCATCATCAGCATCCTCGACCACGCTGACAGAACAGTCTCCTGACCTGAGGTGGAGTGGGTTGAGGAGCAAGACTGTGAAACCTTTAACCTCAGGGTCTCGAACTACAGCTGCAGCACCAGTCACAGCTGCAGCAGCAGCCAGAGCTGGCAGAGGAAGAGGTAACAGATTGAAGTTTTTAGGTGTAAACCAGCAGCCTGTGGGCTCCAAGACAGACCATAGGGCTGCAGTTAAGGGTGAGCCATCGCTACCTCCACAGAAGCACCAAGTCCTGACTGCTGTGCGGAAACAAGTGGAAGAAAAGTGGGCGCCAGTGAGCAGAGCAATGGATAGAACTGTCGGTGAGCTGGGGTGCAGCTATCCACAGACTTCTCAGCTCAAGGGAGTTGTCAGGGATGTGGATGTAGGCCGCGCTGAAGCAGATGACAGTAAAGCCGCCATCAACTTGAACAGTCCTAGACTTCCGGCCCCTTTCAAGCTACCCATTACTGCAGATCTTAAGGACAGTAGTAAGTTTATTTGTAGTGTGCGTCTGTTTGTTTGTTGGAAGTTAAAAAAAAATTTTCTCATTTCTTTGTTGTTGATCAATCCCACCCCCCCCCCCCCCCCCCCTCATTTTTTTTTTGTTGAGCCATTTTTTTCCTTATTTCTTTGTTGTTGAGCTATTTTTGTTTTCCTCATTTCTTTGTTGTTGACACCTTTCCATTTTTTCCACATAATAGTGTTTAATTGGGCTTTGGGAAGGCTTGGGAATAAATTTCCTCTCCATAACCCAAAGCCTGCATAGTCTTCTTTCTTCTTCTTCAGGTTTACTGGTTGCAAACCCCGGCCGAAAGTTCTGGTTGTTCATCCACTTCTGGACCTCAGTCATGTTCCAGAACCTGAGTGTTGCGTGTTCATCCGTTTTACAGGTCTGACTCATTTGCATGCTGACTTTTGGTTCCCTGCCCCTCAGGCAGATGCACTCCAACTTCGAAGGAAACTCCCAGTTAGTCGACTCTTACGACATGCTTTTGGGTAGGCAGTGGGTCTGTCCCCCCCTCCCGGAATAGGGCCCTGGAACCCACACGGGGGGAATAGGAAATCGATACAAAGAAACAATAATCTCAAAGCTCTATAATTCAGAGATGAATATTCTTTTTTTTTGGGGGGGGGGGGGGGGGAGGGGGGGGGTTTGTTTCATGATTAGTTTAAAATTTGTGTAGGCCCACATAGACTCTTCCATGGGTTGAATGAAGACCACTGTGGGTTGTAGGTTATACGTATTACTTCCCGTCCTTTTTAGGAGGAAATGTTTCGTTATTTGAAGCCCTACTCTGGTATGTTAAGGGAATTGTTCCCCTCCAGGATTGCATTCTGTAGGGTGAGAATAAAACAGATACATATCCCCAAAACCCTGTTCAACCTCATTGAACAGTTAAATTGGGACGCCCGACGGTTACGAAGTAATGTAACTCCTGACCGCCTGAGAAATAATTCCACCCCTTTATAGTATGAATAATTAAGTTTGGTGAACTTAGGTGGACCAATTATCAAAGCCATGATCGAGTCGTTTGTGTTGGTCTCTAGGGCGGCAATTGCCAGGGCACTGGGAGTGGACAAAGGACAAGTACCTGTCCCGTACGACGGGTCGCTGCGGGCTAACGTGGTTGTATTTGAATCGAGACACTTTTGACATTTGACTTTACTTGTGGTAATAGATGGCAATTTACTGGCGGGGGCCTTACAGACACATTTACCAGTCGTACTATACAGAGACACCCAGCATGTCTTCATGCCGACGTCTGCAGGGACAGTGTACTTATTGATGTCTCTCCAGCGCTTGGACGGTAATTATAGCTAATCAATCAAAACAGCACGTGATTTCACAATACCGTTACGCTGTTCCTTCTGGCGCATCCCATGTTCGCTTAATCCTTCAAATGCTGCCGTTTGTTCATCGATACCTCTTTTTGAAATTAGCGGGAAAGATTCAGTTTGTCTGTCTCTTGTTTGTCCAGCTTCTTTTACATTTTTGTTACTGGCGCTCATTGGTCGGTTGTCAATACGATTAACAGCTTAAGGATGAGTATCAGATGTATATAAATATCATAAACCCCCTTCCATCGTCTAACAGTTATATTTGAGTTTTCGACTGATAAGATAAGAAGCAACGGTAGTCCAGTGTGGGTTGGTATGTGATGTAAGCCATGTGTTACCGAGACCGGTAAGGGAAGCAAAGAATGGGAACTACATGAAGCGATCTCTCTTCACGGAGTTGACCACAGTCAGAGCGAAAACCTTGTAGCCCCAACGAGACACCGGGAATCTCCGAAATACCCGCACTGGTTAGTTGAAACCGAGCTTGCCACGTTCAGAGAGAGAGAGAGAGAGAGAGAGAGAGAGAGAGAGAGAGAGAGAGAGCACAATAATCTGTTCAGCACTTCGCCACATAGATCCTATATATATATATATATATACATTAGGGCTGTACGAATGGCGGGACCAACTATTCGGCCGAATATGAATAGTGTATCATCATCATCAGATGCCTTGCCGACTGGCGTGGGTGAATATGCCTCGCCACAATCTGCGATCCTCTGCAGCATGTATTAGTTAGTGTGCTGAGACACCTCCATGCCATGCAACAAGACTTCTTCCACAGATCTTTCCAGTGGTCACTACTTGTTCCATTTTCCCTCTTCTTATAACATAGCCGCAAAATTATGACTGTCTCCTTCTGATGTTTGTGATTAGTTGTCTTCGGGCTCCCGCCTCTTTCAAAACCATCGTTCGCTCGGTCGTTCGTTCGATGTAATTTAAACGCACCTTCATATTCACGTTAGCATTATCTTTAATTTTGATTTGGGCAAAGACACCATGAAAGAACGAAAAATGGTGCCACACCTAAGGGCGAAGAGCTGCTTTAAGCTGATAAAGCTTCTGCTGTGAAGGTTGTCTGGGATTAAACAGACAGTGCAATAGAACAGAGAATCCATACACTGAAAAACTAATTGATCGAAGGACAAGTAAAGGTTCTGGAACATATTCACCAATGAGGATGAACATAGGCGGACTTTTTTAATCTGACTGCAACTCGAACTCTTCGTTGGAAGGAGCAGAGTAGGTGTGGAAATGTTCTAGATGCAGTGGTATCAATTCTTTTTTTTCATTAATTCTAGTCGCCTTTTACAGCATGTCTGGAGGGGATGGGGGGGGGGGGGTATCATTCTCTCATCAGCGAAACGAGACCCTGGAACCCACGCAGCTAGAAGCCTTATTTATCACGTTCAGTTGAAATCTTTTAAATAAAATGATGAGATAACATCAGAGAAACTGTTGTAAAAGCTTCCCTGGTCCAAACATTACAATTTTGTCAGCGATGCTTGACTGGGTGCATACATCCATCTATGGTCGAAGAGGCCAGAAGAGCGAGAACTTGTACTTCGTGTCTCATTCGACACCTGAAGCGATGAAAAAGGAAATAATTTAAATATACGAGAATACAGTGTCTTGATTCCCTTTACGACGTCGAATTTCCGTGACGAAGACAAGGTCCTGCTGATGTTAAACCCGTAAAAGCACAAACTCTGACTGTCAGCTTAATTGGTTCTTTTGTTTACCATGCAAAAAAATAATATTTTGATTTCGTTCCACCTGCTTTCCTTTGTAGCCGTGTCCTCTTTGTCACATGTGTGTTGACTATATAAGAGTAAACAGTTCTAATTTCCTGTTCGACATGAAGTAGTAAAAAGAAAATAATTTAGGGCCGGACAGGCGCCAGTCTCTTTATCGGTGTCCTATTTTCGTTTCAGCGCCGGGCGCAGTGATGACACCTATATTGTTACTTTGGCCCTTTAATCAATAGAGTGTGTCCGTCACGGTGAATCGCCCCGGCGGCAAGGGGG